CATCCTTCCTTTGTAATAAATCCCTCCCTAAAAAAAGAGAATAAAAGGCTGAGGTAGAGTGAGTTCTGCATGCAATGCTGTGCAATGCTGGGCAATGGTAGGCAATATATTTGCAGATCTATCTACCTGCCAGCTTGCATCATATCTGTGTGTCTGTCTTTTTTGTATATATTTCATCTCTCTCTGTCTCTATCCCTTTCGCCGCCAGATCTCCGTTCTTCGTGACACCCACACTTCCTTGCTGAGGCTAGAACCCGACACAGGACCTCGACAAAACCCTAAGCATCAGAAGGGAGGAGAGAGATGTGGACTGAAGCTGAACAGGAACAGTGAGAAAGAAGAAAAACAGACAAACTATGGGCTGGCATGGAGCAGTATGATCATCTTGAGCTTTTGCAAACAGTTACTGATATAGTGGCCTGTAGGCACAAGATGCAGCTGGGGTTTGGCAGCAAGAGGGTACTTTTTTTCCCTTGTTCCCATCCCTTCCTGATATGGCCACCCCTCCATCCTTGTCAACCCAGCAGCCATCAAGGCAAGCCCATCAAGTCCCTTCAGGACAAACCTCCCTCCAAGACTGATACTCAAAGGGAACACATGAACAGGTATGTAAGCTTGCTGGCAACCACACTGGTCTATTGGTGAGTGGAAGAGGAGGAAAGACAGCAATGAAGAAATGGGCTGAGTTCAACCACGTTCCATAGACTCCCGTTGACCTGGAGATGAGAGACAGAAGAAGAAGGGCTGGTTGGTCCGAAGTGTGGTGAGACCTGGGGACACCTGAGCCTATGGATAAGGACATAGCCACGGAGGGCCAGAGCTGAGAGTGAAGCATCCAGCTGATATGAAGTGAGGGGAGATGCACAAGAACACCCCAACTTGCATATAGTATCCATCTGACCTGGTCTCGATGGCTTGATAATCAGAACTCAACTAGGGGAAGATGAGAAAACAATTTGTGATAAAGGAAACAAAGGGTAAATTGCTACAATTTGATGAACCTGACCTATACTTATGGATGCAGTAGCTCAAAATTTCAACTAAGAGGGAAGTTTTCACATCAAGTATCAATCCTATCCCCTCTATATATAGGGTACATAGGACAGGAACAGGCAACTTAGACACTAGCTACCTAAAATAAGGGGGCGATAAAGGCACAAAGTGACTGGCTTACAATGTTTCAAGAAGGAGTTTAGCTTAAGAGCATGAGGATGGTAGAGTCCCCACTGAATAGTTTTCATCTTATCTAGGTAGGTCTGGTGAAAGAGATGGGGATAAGATTCTTATGATTCAATA